GACACCATCATCAATGGTGAGGAGGGAGACGTCAAAGGTACCACCACCAAGATCAAAGATGAGTATATTCTTCTCACCAGCACTGCTTGTGTGCTTGTCAAGTCCATAAGCAATTGCAGCAGCAGTGGGTTCATTAATGATTCGCATCACATTAAGCCCTGCAATAACACCTGCATCCTTGGTGGCTTGTCGCTGAGAATCATTGAAGTAGGCAGGTACAGTAACAACAGCATTCGTCACAGAGCATCCAAGGTATGCCTCAGAAATTTCACGCATCTTTACAAGGACCATGGACGATATTTCCTCAGCCGAAAAGTGCTTCTGCTCACCTTTGTGGGTGACTGCAATCACGGGCTTGTCACCAGGACCTGGAATCAGTTTGAAAGGCCATAGCTTCATATCCTCTTGAACAGAAGCATCACTAAATCTTCTTCCAATTAAACGTTTAGCATCTGCACAGATACGCAAAATCGTAAGTATACAAGTGGTATGCATTGATAATTGACAGCACTGCAGTATGTAACATAATCTGTTGCAATACACCTTAATGCTCAACTATATGTTCGACACGTAGCGCCTAGAAAACAAGATTAAGTTGCAAAATTTCTTATATATGTCTAAGTACAGAATCCCCTGCTTTCAAAAATCCAAACAAAGAACCTACTTACTAATTATCAAATTCATGAATTCTTAGCAAATCAATACAATGAGATACAAAGCCAAAAGAAGCTAACATACATACAACTATACACATACATAAGGAAAACAAACGTAAACCCGAGCTATTAAAAGGAAAAACAGAAGAAGATGAAAAGTTTAACATACCAAAAACTGTGTTGATAGGGTTCGCGGCAACTTGATTCTTAGCAGCATCACCAATCAAACGTTCTGTATCACTGAAAGCAACGTAAGAAGGAGTAGTCCTGTTTCCTTGATCATTAGCTATGATCTCAACACGACCATGTTCAAAGACTCCAACGCATGAATATGTTGTTCCAAGATCTATTCCTATTGCTGGACCTTCTACTTTACCGGCAACCATTGTTAATCAATAAGTTGCAGAAACTTTGTACAGAGAGATTTCAAAGAAAACTTACTAAGTTGCAAAAGTTTTATGAGATTCAATGAGTGGGTTGGAGAAAGTATGGGGGTATATATAACTTGGAAGTTCATTTCTAGAAAGTTCTGGAAAATTTCAATGCATGTAAAAGGAAGTCCAATTGGTGAAAGTTTGCATGTAAAAGGCAATTTGATCAATTCTAGAAAGTTCTGGACTATTCGATGCATGGAAAAGGAAGTTCAATTCTAGAAAGTTCTGGAACAAAACTCTGATTCTAGAATGTTCTAGAAAGTAACTCTGATTGTACTTCTGATCAAACTAATTTAAGTTTGCTATTTGGATTGACCTATGATTTTATCTGATATTTCATTGTTTCTGTGGTATATGTATAACATCATTAATCAGATCTAGCCATATAGCTGAAAATTTCATTTGCAAATCGCAGCAATGGTATATGATGATGTCGCTCAACTATATACAAGACAAATCATAATAATCCCAACAAATTAAATTCTGATGGTATACCTTATTTTAATTCAATTTTCTCCAAGATCTTACAACATAACACATATGTCTGAACCGATAATTTACTCAGATTTATGCCTACTACTATATTCCTAAAATTTTACTTGGAGAAACAGAATACAAGCAGTAATAAATAGTGTGTCGATTGAATACGAAAAAAGTGTATGCTACTATATTCCTCAAATTTACTCATATCAAATGCATTTCACTGCTTGTAACAAAGTGCGAGAGAATGCATGTGATTGATATGGATATATATGAATACGAATGAATACATGTGATATGTATGTTCTTGATAAATTCATCAATTTGCATGATTACATGTTCAATCAATGCATACCATGATTTGAATTCGAACTAATTAACTCCATGTTAATCTTCAATCTTCATATCTCCTCTGGAAATGAAAATTTAGAAAACCATTGAATCAAACACAGAATGAAGTTAAGACTTGAGAAAATCGCACAACACACTGATTACATGATTCTACTACTGTTCAAACAAAAGTTCACAACACTACTACACTCTTAAAGCAGTTCACAGTTTGAATGTGGCGAATAAAGATTATGCGAAAGGTCAGATGTCGAAGCCTTAACCCTGAGCAAAAGGGTTCTGAGTGTGACAGTCAGACTGTTGCTTCTCTTCTAATGTTGAAACTCTTCCAGCTTTGCCTGCTAACAATGAATTATATATAACCTGAGCATCATGGTGCAAATGTTGTTTATTCGGTTCACTAACATTTGCTAGATGAGAAATCTGCAAAACACTCTCATCTTGAATACCAGTCAAAACCGACAAATATGCCAAGAAGTAGACTAGGTTACTGCAATTCTTAGTTTGTATGCTTTTAAAAAATGCTGAATCGAAAATCCTTGCATACTTCCATGTCATTCTTTTCCTGTTCTCTGAAATATTATCTTGATCAAAAGTTTTTATAATATCAGCCAAGGATTTTCAAGGGATGTGCAACCATGCGAATCTTTGTTAACTTACCAATGTCCTCCACTGTCACCCCGAACGCTTTCTGAATTCCAACAAAAAGTGTATAGGCATGCATTCCAGTACAACTGAGATGTTGCTCATATAACGTAGTTCGAAGTCCCTGAGCTATTGGAATTTCATTATGAAGGTACAACATACCAGCCATTCCATACTTAAATATGGGATTCGATCGAAACTTGAAAGACATAGCTTCCAAGGAGTCTTTTGGAGGATTGTACCATGCTAGTGGAAATGCAAATTGATAAAAATCTGAGAAGGTAGAGATAATATAAGGAATCGCATTGAGGTAATTGTTGACAGGTTTGGTGAATAACCTAAGCAATGAAGCACAAACATAACAGATAGAAGCAGCTGCGGCTGGAATAGACATGGGAAATGTTAAGGTTCCTCTGACTCTTGGGTTATATATAGGGACTTCTCTTGACAATGAGTAATACTCTACATCCTCTAGAGAAGCACATGGACTATAATTAGGGAATATCGATTGAGTTAAATCCGCTGGATTGCGCAAATTCCAAGCAATTAGAACAACTGCTCCAACAGTTTCATCTGTTACAGACTGCATGATATCTGTCAGAACTCTGGATCCTAGCTCAACTATATCGGTGTTTGTCATAGTGTAAAAACGAACTGCCTTCTTTCCACATAGCATTGTGTCATCCCAATCCACCCTACTACATTCTCCAAAAGTGATATGTTCCAGATCCTGAAAACGATCTCTAATTTCCTGACGAGGATCCATTGACTAGGATTATTTGAAGCCGAAGGATGATTACCTAAACATAATATAACAACACTAAGCAAAAACAATAATCAAATTCGGTATACAAAATTACAAACAAGAGTCCATGAACTGAAATTCAGTACATCCACCCTCCATGAACAATAATCATATTGTTCTCTTCCCTTTGTCCTATACTCCTATACAATATGCCATGACCCCATGAGTCATGAGTCATGACTAACCTATACTGCAGTTTGCTGTATGCAAAAGGCAGTAGTACTAGTGATTTGATTGACCTAGGCATCTTGTTCAGTTGATGGGAATATAGTACTGCAGTATGTAACCCACTTGTCATGAGGTACATTGATAAGGTTTCCTATTTCAACTTTCAATGGAGTTATTGGTCAATTTCTAGCTAGCTTAAGGAGTTAAGTTTCGTAGATTCCAGTTCAACAGCTACAACAACTATGACAGACCCTCCTTCAGATTAAAAAATGTTGAATTATTTTTTTTAGAGGGAGCCTTTCCAGAAATTCTCTACGGCCCTGGCAGAACCAAGGCCGAGGAGGGGGTTTGGAAATAGTTTTTGACCAGCAATTGACGCGCCTTGGTATAACCTCACTAGCTGCGTCATTGCCCCAAGCGCAAAGATAAATGTTGAATTGTTGATATTGAAAAATTGTAAAAGGAGAAGTAATCTTACACTAATTTCAGTAACTAAAAAAAAACCACCATCCCTACACCAGATTTATGTTTTTTCATAGTTTCATCATTTAATTTCTACAGCAATAAATAACTCTTACGACTGAACACTGCATATTCCTACACATACAATGTAGTTGAAGAATGTAGTCTTTAGATGGTGGAGTTCTTTCGAACCACTTTACGAATTTCGACAGATGCAAGAAATTTTTATCCATTATAGTTATTTTGGGTGTTTAGAGAAATTTTTTTTGTATGGATTAAACTAATTAATGAAAGGTTTATATGGATTGAGGCAATTGTACAAATTAACTTTCATCCAAATGATAGGGTGAGAGAAGTCACTGCAACAAGATATAAATAAGATCATAATTACAAACATTTGTATTGTGATGAGGCAGCGTGGTCCTGAGGATGTTTCCGTACTGTTTATGTGCTTAATAAAGGAGTTGAGAGGATTAAAGCATGCCAGCAAGGTTATTTCATGCTACTAATCTTACTCCAACTTGTATCCTTCTCCCTTATCACAAACATTCTCCTCAGTTCAGCTGCATAAGCACAAACAACTGATTTGACACATAATGCAAACTCAATAGTCAACACCAAGCCTTTGAAGCAGAGTACTTTCCCCTGGGTTAACTGTTTCCGTGGTATCAGTGGCACAAAAACGGGTGATACATGATGTGAATACAATCCAATCAAACTTAAGCTGGTTATTAAACTGTCTTCTCCGTAAGTTTCCTGCAAAGTTCCAAAAGATATCTAAATGCATAATGATCATTTACTTGAGAATTATTTTAAATGATCTTTACGGCCATGAAAAATTCAGCTTCTGTTCCAAAGACTAATCTAGTATCATGATTTTGATTTGCTGAGTCAGACATTGAAGGGTTAGTGGTGCTTTGCATGAATTCAATCAGAACTGCAACTCTGCATGACTGCATGTCCTTAAACATAGAAAACCAAACCTCAGCTCAGAGTCTGTCTGATCATCAGTTAATAGGGTTGGGAAGATAAGCTACTCCCAGAGTGTTTCACAATGGATTGAAACTAAAAAGAAAATATAAACAAAGCAAACCTGATTTTACAATTTCATAAATCCAAAATGTTTTAGGTCTTTAGGATCACAATTATGAATGTGACATAACAAGAATTATGGACTATGCACTCCTTACAGTAGCACAAAAGCTGATATATCTCTAAAAGAACTTAAAGAAGACATGCACTAAGTTTCATAGAACAAGAAAACATCATTTCTGACAACAGGTTGGCACATTCAATCACATAAAATACAAAGGAAAATCAACAAAGGAACCAAGTGAGTCATGCTAACTGTATCATCACCTTACACTGCCTTTCGGTTTACTTTTAGATACGGCAATGCACCAATAACGTTGTCATAATCACTCTTGTTAACTTGGATCTGCAATTCATAAGAATAACAAAAGTTCAGAGGAAAAAAAAAAAAATTTGTGAGACTAATATGCCAATGTATACAAACTAAACACTAAAAATTTACACGTGGATATCAACAGATTCAAAATTATGTGGAGCATGTCACATGTGCTAGCTCAAGTTGGAAAGCAAAAATATTCACCTTGGATTAGAAAGTTTGTTTCTGTACTCAAGTAAGACAGGACAACAATAGTTAGCTTCCAACTGAGATTTAGCTATGTTACACTGTGCGTGTATACTAGTTGTAGGACATATTTGACTAAATTTCAAGGATCAGATAAATGCTAAATGCTAATGCATGGAAGCTAGATTTACTTTATTTTTAGATTCTTCAAATATATTATATATTTGGACCCACATTCATGTCTGCTGATCAAAACATATTAGATATTTTTTTGGTAGAAAATATGAGCTGAGCATTCAAATGAGAATCAGTTCAACTAATATAAAAGGCCAAAAGGGAGATATTATTATCTCTGCGATGAGGAAAGCAAGATAATCATTGCGAGATGACATACAGAAACTGAAGGAGAGACAAATAACAAAAGCACAAAAAATAAACATTCTATGGTATGGAGTAAGCTCAAAACCGTTAGTATAACTATCATTTTTCCCCTTCTTCAATATCCAAACACGACTTTCCTTTAGGAATTACCAGACTCGAACTGTTAAAATGGAACTCAGTAACCAATTTATCTGCAGACTGCAGTGATACACCAGCATGCCCATTTATTGGAAACTAAATAACGAGCCTACCAGAAAGAAATTTTCATCCATTTATCTGGGCTTGTTTCAGCCTCCAATTACTATGACGTGCTTAAGTGGTCTTACAATGAAGTTTGTGCGAATGACACCAACTATAGCAGATGTGCTTCATGAACCTTAAGGCTGTAGGCCCCTTGCTCAGTCAAATATCTTGAGATATGTCATACACCATCCAACAGAAAGTGATATAACAGATAATATTTGGCGAGGATAAATTCCTCACCATATATCTTCAATAGGGAGATAATGCCAAAGTTTTGCGGTCAACAACAAGGTTTTACCCTAATTCTAATGTTTCTTATACTCCTAAAACATACTAAGAATAAGCACGCCATATGAGAACAATGAGATCTTACATTCATAACAAATCAATAACGAGATCGTTACCAGGAACCAAGGTAACCAAATAAACTACAAGATGGAGCTTGATATGATTGAAGGCATATAACTCTCAGGAAATGCTAATGGCAATACCCATTTATACAAGCAGTTAATGACATTGTCATTTCTATGAGTTGGAGTTTGGTCAAACACCAAGCATTTGTATCTGAATACTGCTCAGAAGCCACATTTAGGCAAGACCACGAAGACAGTCCAAAGAGGGCAAATTCGGATATAACATCAATTGAAGTATGAATCCCATATTTCAGATTGACAACAAAATCCAAGTATGGATTCAAAAATCATCAAATTATTTTCTATCTTAATATCATTTACAACAACTTAACAAGTACAATTTCAACTTTAGAGCAATGGCCAGTTTTAAATATTTTGAGCATATAAAAGCAATTTCACAGTTTTCAGAATTCATTCCATCAAACCCCCAACAGAGAATTCTCTACATCAAATTTCTTCCATTGTAATTTATGTGGTCAACCATCCAAAGATGTACATTTTATTTGTGTGTGTATTTCATTATTCATTCAACAAATAAAAGTATTAAAACTAACTCACCATTTTCGACAATCGGTTTTTCCTCTTAGTATTCTTCTTAGCAAGCAAATGTTGTTTTCCAGCTCTCCTTCTAACTATCTTCCCATTACCCGTTACTCGAAACCGCTTTGCAGAAGCCTAAAACCCACAAAACTCAATCAAAAACACAAAATTCCAGCTAAACTACAACATTAAACAAAGTGGGTATTAACAATTTAAGTTAAATTCATCGAAATACCTTGTGGGTTTTCATTTTATAACCTTTTGCAGCAAAAACAGTGAAAGTTGGAGCATTTTGGGGAGAAGAAAGCTTGATGGGAAGAACAGGATGAAACACAGATATGTTTTGAGAAGAACTAAGATTCAAAGAAGGGGTTTTCTTGTAAGAAAATGCCAAACGAACAGCATGAGAACTTTGAATTGAAGGAAGAGAAGAAGGAAAGAAGTTTAAAGAACATTGCAGCATCGTTGCAGACGCCATAGCTTTTCCTATCCGTTTGTTTCAGAAGAAATGAAAAAAGCCCAACTCTGTGTGGATAAAGGGAAGTTTGAGAAATTTATTTTAGCAGTCCTCGATCTCACTTATGCTTGTTTTTAGTCCATTGAAATGATAATATTTCTAAAATAGGACAAACCATTTTATTAAGAAGATAAAAGTCCATTTATGTCTATGAGTTTCTGTTAATGTTTTGGCTCAAAATAATATGCTAGGGTTTCTTTGAATCATTAAAAACCCTTTTAGTGTGTAAGTAGAATTTTGAGTTTTCTTCTGCAATTTTGCATCAAACTTCTATACAAAGCTGCTGCAGAGTTTGCTGTGAACTTAAGATAGTAAGACCAGTAGTGCCGACAACGTAAATCGTCTTTCTGAAAAAGCCTGGGAATAGGTGATGTGCAGAGAGCAGTGCGAAAAACTGGGCGAAGAAATTTGCTAGTTTTGCAGACATGCAGTAGTAGAAGGAATTTTTTGGGAAGGAAACAATAACTTCGCCACAAATAATACATATTCCTGATATTGATCGATCCAGATGAATTTTGTATAATACTAGTAAAAAGCTCAAAAGAGTCATGCTACAACTTAGTGTACTGGGCATCTACTTGCAAGGTAAGCAGCATTGTTGGGAAGTAAACTCTACTAATAAATTGATTGCAATAAGAATTAAGAAAAGCTAATACCTCTAACCCCTAAACTATAATCGTTACAGAAGAGGGATTATTGAATTTTACATGGACATAGGAAATCAAATAAAGAATGATGGATCAGACCAGATTGACAGCCACAATTAACCAAGTGGCTCAAAAAACTCAACAATGTATTCATAAACACTAAACCCAAAAAGAAAGAACATGGACCTACAAACTTAGGATGGCCGGATCGCAAATGCGTGTGCAACATGAAGAAAGCTTTACTCAGTGGAGTTAGAAGTCACAAGCGCTGTATCCAAAGCTAGCACAGTACAGTATATGGTACAACACCTTAATGCTCGCTAAAAGCCACATCATATATCTGACTATAATCGTCTACAAAGTGCACGTCAAGACCTTCTTTCACATTAGATGCAAGCTCATCAAAATCCCTTCTGTTAGCTGCGGGAAATATAATAGTCTTCACGCCACTCCTCCTTGCCGCAATAGTCTTCTCCTTCACCTGTTAGTCATAAATAAAAATAAATGTTTAATGAATGTAAACTAAATTGATAACACTGGAACCCATAGTCGATTCCAACATGAAACAGTATGTTAAGATCACATCAAGATTGAAATTTTCGGAAATTCAAGTATATACGTAAACCTGAT